ATCTTGCCAACATTTGTTTTTATCTTTTGGATGGTAGCCATTCTTACTGGTGTGAGGTGATATCTCATTGTGGTTTTTTAATTTGCATTTCTCTGATGATGAGCGATGTGGAGCATCTTTTCATGTGTCTGTTGGCCATCTGAATTTCTTCTTTGGAGAACTGTCTGTTCAGCTCCTCTGCCCATTTTTTAATTGGATTATTTGCTTTTTTGTTGAGGTGTGTGAGCTCTTTATATATTTTGGATGTCAACGCTTTATTGGACCTGTCATTTATGAATATATTCTCCCATATTGTAGGGTACCTTTTTGTTCTATTGATGGTGTCCTTTGCTGTACAGAAGCTTTTCAGCTTGATGTAGCCCCAGTTGTTCATTTTTGCTTTTGTTTCCCTTGCCCGTCAAGATATGTTCATGAAAAAGTCTCTTTGAATTATTTTCAATGAAATATTGAGAGCTAGGTAGCTTAAGTTTCCACCAATGGCAACCTGGAAGTTCACCTTCATTCTTGAAAGGTATGTTGAATATAGAACCTATGTTGGCAACCATTTAAAGTTTTCCCTAGGACTTTCAAGGTATAGTTTCACTATACCATGGTTTCCATTTTTGGGAGTCTAATCTCTTAGTTGAACTGCTAGTTCTTTGAATTTAATTTCTCTTCTCTCTGGTTTATGTTTTTTTCTCTTTTGACTTTGGTGCTCAGCAGTTCCACTAAGGTGTGGATGTTTACTTTTTCTTGCTTGGATTGACTTTCTTTAATCTGTAGATATCATTTTATCAACTTTGAAACTTCTTCATCATTGTCTCTTACAATAGTTTCCTATGCTTCATTCTTTCTCCCCTTTCCCTCTAAGACTCTGATTATCAGAGTAATTGGTCTCATGTTAAATCCACATTTTTACTCTCTCCTTCATATTTTCTACCTCTCTGTGTCTGTGCTGTGTAAGAATTTCTATGGATCTATCTTCCAGTTTGCTGCTCTCCTGTCTGTGTTCAATTTGCCATTACAACCATCCATGTTAGTTTCTGTATTTTCATTTCTGAAAGTTCTGTTTTGTAGTTTCTCATGATAGTTTCCCCTCAGGCTTATCTTTTATTTCTTTGAAGTAGTAAATATATTTTGAAAATAGTAAGTATATTTGTTTTACAGTGTTCAATAATGTCAACATCTGAAACAGGCGTAGACTTTTTCTGCTTTCTAACTGGTGGCGTCTTGTTTCTCTGCATTATTAGTTATCTCTGTTCATATTTGAAAAATTGTGAGACCTCCTCCAAATCTAGGATGGAGATACCTTCCACTAGAGAAGATCTGAGTTTAACTTTGAGTATGTATTTCAAATACTCAAAATTAGTAGTGGTTCAGATCTAGCAATCTAGACCTTCTGTAACCCCTTGGCTTTCATTCAATCTCAATGAAAATCACAGAATATAATCTAGTTATAACAATTTCTATTTTATCTGCAATCTCTTTCTGCATGTTCCATCTTAAATTTCTCCATTTGGCTGCTTTTATTTTATACCTACAGCTTTGGCTATATCACGGCCTCTTCATATTGCTTCTAATTGAATCAGTTAAAATTGTCTTTGCTGAATTTGAGATACGTCTCAATATACTCCCACTTCCAATTACCATACTTTCAGTCTTCTCACCCTTCTGTCTTCAATCTTCTTCCAGGCTGACCTCTAAACTTCAACAACTCTCTCCAATTCTTGCTCACCTTATCTGCATTTCTTTACACAGTTAATAGGAAATAGGATCCCATCTGACTCCACAGAAAATGCCAAAGAAATAACATGCTTGCTTTCTTTTAATATTCTACACGTTAATGAAGGTGGAAATTGTGATATTAAAGTTAAAATTTGGCTGTATGTGATTTCATTGCTTTTAATTATGGGCAATAATGGTGTATTCATCAGAGGTTTGCAATAAACAGCATAGAGTCAGTTGGCATCATGTCTGCAAGTGAGAGTGAACAATGAAGACCTAACATGATGGCATTTATTCCTGACCGAGTACTTTATTAGCACTGAGCATCATGTTTAGTGTGCTGAAAACAAGAACTCCTAGAAATCTGAAAAATGGAACATAATCAGATTACTATTTATGATACAAACTAAAATGTTCTTGATTCAGTTATGAGAAAACTCCTGACAAAAGTTCAGGAAAATATTTCAAACACTGGGGGTAAAAAGAACCATTATCACTATTCAGACTTCCTGCAGCAGTTAAGTCAGGCTGTTTTCACTGAATAAGCATAAATATAATCTAGTTTTGTTTAAAAACAAATATGAAGCATTTGGCAAAATTTTAAAAACTTTAGTGCCCTGCTATGGACAATCTATGGAACTGCATAATGGAAAATTTCATAGTGCTTAAAAAATTTTTTTTTCATAGTACTCGTGTCTAGGGATTTCTTCTAAATTAAAAAGATCACCTGTAAACAGATCTTTTAAAAATATTTGATAAAATACCTTTCAAAGGAATCAGAAAGCTGCAAATGAAGGAAAATGCTGGGTGCTATTGGCTTTCATCTTTGAGTCAAATATTATGTTGGGCCCTTTGCTATTATTTCATTTAATTCCCACTACAATACTATAAGGGATTACTCCTTAAACAGTAGAGAAATTGAGACTTAGAGAATGTTAAGAAACTTGTACAGGGCAACATAGAAAGCAAGAGGCAGAACCAAGATCAATCACAGATGGGTCCAGCTCTCGAGTCCATGCTGAGTCTCTGCTATCCTTCTTCTGCAGCAAAGATTTTCTTTTTAAGGAACCAATCAGTAGTATTTTCATTTCAGATTTTCTGATCTGGACTATGAGTTCCTTGTCAGCAGAGCCCATGCTTCTTATGTAACATTGCCTTCCCAATCCCTCTTAGAGCAGCAGTTATCAACAACTTACTGCTAAGTGAAAAGAAGATATTGAACTAATCACTACTGTGCCTAAAGTGGCAGGATACATGACTCTAACTGGGCTCAGCTGGAAAAAGGACAAGTATTTTAACAAACAAGTTGGAAATAGGTACATAAACTTTTTAATGGCCATTTGTGTGGTGGTCACTGTGGAATGATTGGACATACATCAATTTAGCTGAGCCACAAACAGAAAGCACTGTGGCTATCAGATGGTGTGATTATTTCAGAAACAGCTTTCTTTTGAGCCAATTGATGAAAACAGAAACACTACAAGTGAACCCCTCTGTTCCTAGCCTGGCACTATTTTTCTCCTAGTACATGTGGAAAAACTAAGAATACAACTTTCAAATTGGAACAACAACTTTTTCTGGCCTATTGTTTTTGAAAAGGTTATGAGACAAAACACAAAGAAAGACAAACATCGTAAAATAATTTTTATACAGGATTAGTAGATCTGTTACATATAAAAAACAGAAAGGACCTCATTACAGTTAATTTCACATACATTACACAGATTGACTTTTTTAAACTACTATTCAACTTCATTTAAAGTCCCTTTTAAAAATTTCATTTTGAAGGCACAGTGCATGAAATAAACCAAAGACTGAAGCACTTGAGATGAATGAGTGTTGGGCACCTCATATAAATAGCGAAAGAATTGTTCTGGAGCCGGGGAATGTCACTCCAAAAAAATGGAGGGGTGGAAAGTTGATTTTTAATATGAGCATAACAAAATACCATTAGGTCATACTTCCAGAAAATCTGTAGCATGGCCATAGAATGTAGCTAGTACACTCATGTTATGCCATTTCTGTAAGTCATAATCATACATATTTACACAATTTGAATCCAATTGCCTTAAAATGGTAGCCTATTTTCAAATTTCATAATATAATCTGCCTAGTCAAAACCAACTAGGATAATATTCTGAAAGTCAAGAGTAATATATATTGCTAAAAATAGGGGAAATGGGTCTTGGGAGATATTTCTTCATGAACTAGAAATTCAAGTTCAGTTGCTGTTAATCAAGGGCCCTAATAGCCTCAAAAAAATCTGCTTTAATTAAAACAAATCATAAACCCAAAGTTATCAAAGCGTTGCTAGATAGAAAGTCACTGAACATCAACCACAGTGGAATTTTTTTGTAATAACAATAAAGTTGCAACTGTTAAAAACAATTCCACCAGAGAACTATAACATAGGGCACCATTACAGCATTCATAGCCAAGAAGCCTTTAATACAGCAGGGGTAAAACCTGGCACACGTGCATTTCTGGCGACAAGAAGATAAGACTATTTACTGCTGAGTATAAATGGAAATGGTCGGGGTTACTTAGTAACCTGGTATTAGCTCAGAAACCCAATAGGCTCAGGCATAAATAAGCACTATCTTTTGTTTATCTGTCAACTCATAGTTCGTTTTAAGATCAATATTCATTAATTAAGTAAATCCATTCAGGTGAAATTTATCAAAGATTAACCAATCAATCACACTGGACCAAATATACATTGTTTCCCTTCTGAAGGATGACAAAGTTCCAAAGCAAATTCTCTGCAATGAGGATTGCAAGCATTCCTCAACTGGATGGGACCCCAATCACTAGCCAAGTGTTCAGCAAAATACATCAAAACCAAAGGGTCTTTCCTTCTAAGACTGAGTTCATCTTACTGAACTGCATAGCCAGTACAAGTATATTTACACAGGCAGACACTCTGAACATCACCCACTCAATCACTTTGCTTTTATTAAGGAGCTGGGAGGGCAGAAGGCTTACAAACTGATCACCAGGACAAAAAAAAAAAAAAAAAAATACACCTTCTGAGTAAAGAAAGGCACAACTCAGATTTGGGCAAATTTCTTAATACTGTGATACTTGCCTCCATGACTCCAAGGAAATGGAACATCTCCAGGAGAAACACTGAAGAAATGCATCATCCCCCATCCCATATGGCTTCAATGCCTTAGGCAATCAATGTGGTCTAATATTAGATTAGATCCACAAAGAAAAGACAAAGCAGGGCTGAGAACGCAGTCATAGTAGTCATGATCCTGTACATTCATGTTAATGAGTAACAAAGGAGGAGAAGGCCTTCTTTTCCAGAGCAATGCATTATTTAGAAATTCATTAAAGATTCAAGATTTATAACAGAATTTCAGTTTTCTCTCAGCAAAAATTGCTAAAACAACTACTTGTATGTTCATTTCTAAGAAAGTTTTACATATGCTGAGAAGGCATGGACTCCAGCCACTGTGATGTACAGTTAAAGATATGTTTAATTCAAGGAGAAATGAATTTAAAAGGCATCCTCTAGTGAAGAGTGATGCTAATAAAGAAAAGGCTGTCACATCAACTTTGTTTCATTTCTACCAATAATGTACCAAGCAGGGCCAGCACTTTATAGGCCCTTTGTTGGTTTTGCATTCTTTAAAATAAAGGTGAAAAGAGCAATATCATCACATCATCCTCTTGAAGAAAATCTAAAGTGTGACTAGAAGAAATTAAATCATGTCTATTTCATTAAGTATTATTAGCACCCCACAAACTCTGTTCTGTGTATGTGGTAGGGTGAGAGGGGGGTAGCAAGGGCTCAAAGAGTTGTTAGTAATAGAATTAATATCAGAATGGCTTAACCTTGAACCACCCAGATTTATCACAGATACTGGTTAATAAGCATCATGACTTCATTATTCCTGCTAAACCAAATCTCTTTATAAAGCCACTTTGGGTGCATTCCTTACAAAATTTTGTTGAATGATCTAGGGGGGTGGTAAACCACTCCACATGAAGGCTTTGGGATACATTAATGGATATAGAATACATTTGAAAAGATGAGAGCAAGTTTTGATCCCCTGATTTAGTACAAGTTCAGCAGCAATTTAGCCATTAAAACATTCAAAGATATATTAAACTATTAGATCATTGGCTAGACTCATACTTACAAAAAAGCATCATTTCCATTAAATAGCATGATATGACAGACACAATAAAATGCACATCTTTCAGGCCTTTGCAATAACCTGAGTGGCAGTGAACATGACACTTCCGCAATGTTATATCACATGGCAGTCTGTAGTTTACATTTCTTTTAATAGAGGGAGCCATATTTAAATGCTTTGAAGTGAATTTTTAACAAAACTGGTTGATCAAAAAGAGACTGTCAAATGAAAAATTAGGACAAAGAACCCAATCACTTGTAAAGGCCTCTGTAAGACTGGCCAAGCTATTTCAATACCAGAATGCTATTACAGGGCGCAGATTTGGGCTGGAGCATGAACTGCAGATATTTTATGTTCAATGTAGGTTAAAAATGTGCAAGTAGGTCTCTTCCATACTTCCAGACATTTTCAGTAGAACTCAGACCTTGTAGACTGCCAGGTCATCCGAAAGCTATTGCGTGTATAACATAGAAAAAGGTTCAAATTTAGGAAATATTAAAGAACTGGGCATTCTTAGAATAAACTAGTGCTTCACAGATAAAAGCAGCAGCACCTGTGGGTTTTTTACCAAGTTAAAAGATAGGCAACATGAGTTTTAGCTTTTGCTAGATCTTCCTCTCAGTTCTACTCAAATGGGCATTTAGATTTTTTACAACAAAGTCAACAAGTTCTCCCTTAAAATGGGGATATTTCGAAGTTTGCTAAACCTTACAAGAGAGGTAGTGAAATCCTGCTTGGAGCACAGCGCACCAGTTCTGATCCAGCCTTGGAACAAATAGCCAAATGCAGAAGCCCATTTATTTCCTAATGTTACATATGTTTAAAAATCATCAGCTTCCATCAAACCTGAATAATAAGAGAAATTCCAGCTATTTAATAACTAGAGAAAAGTACTCCTCAGTAGGTTGAGAAAACCTTGAGTTTTTAAAGCTTTACGTCAGATTCTGCTGTCCCTGCCTTAATGTTTCTGGAGTCTTTTGGCCATTTAAAATAAAGAAAAAAGCTAAAGCCACTAGTAAACACTTGATGTGCAAAATACAACATCCACTAGTTGGCTTTATGTACTTATAACATAAACTGTGAACAGCTCATCTTAAACTAAAAAAAAAAAAACACAAAGTGGCTGTCCCATCTCTGCTACATAAATAGAAAGCCCATTAAAAAAAAAAAAAGGTCAGAGTACTTTAAGGAGGGGAAGTTCAAAACTGCCAGCCAAATTCACAAAGAATACAAATTTAGCAAGTTAACTTCCCAAAGCTCTTTGAAGCAGCAAGAGAGTCTCTCTTCTTAATGTAGTATCTCCCAAAAGGAACTGTAATTTTGCTTGTTACTTTGGCTGGGAGATACGCAAGGTGTGTGTTTCAATGTTTGCTAGAATATAACGTTTCCTCTTCAGTGTCCGTTTCATCCTGGAACTCATGGCTTAAGAGGGACTTCTTGGAGCCGGTTGACATCATGCGAATTTCATCTTCATACTCATCATGATGCTGCCTAAGCCGATGAAAGCCATCCTTGTGTCTGTTAGACTTGATTGAGCAGATGCACCAGATAATGCAAGCTGTTAGGATCAATGCTGACATGGTGGCACCTGTCCAACAAAACTACACGTGAGCAGTGCTCTACTCTAAGGATATAGGCAAGCAGCTGCTTATAATGGTACCTTTTTATAATATAGCCCTCATCTGCTTTATTTTTATTTCATGCACTTACAAACAACTGCTTATTATTACAGAAGTAGCATGTGTATAACATGCAAAATTAGAAACATAAAGATAACCAAAAATACCAAAAACCCAAACCTAAGACCCCATATTTCCATTACCCAGAGATCATTTTTAATAGCCCTAGTGTATATTTTCATGCATGTGGATATATATATTTTTTTACCACAATGAAATCAAACTGTTTTGCAACTTGCTTTTTGTCAATGACTTCTACTTTTCTTTTCCAATAAATTTTCATCTCATCCAAAACCCCTCACTTATTTAAAATATTTGTACAAAGGTTATCAGAATAAGAAGAGAAAATAGTAAAAATAAAATCATAATAAAGATTAAGTTTATGATAGCAAATGGGTGGCAGAGCCAGACTTATACAATAGCCGAATCCTGACTCCTGTATTTCTAACCACTAAGTTATTCACACTTTACATGATTCAAGCTAATAACTCCACAACAGGCTCTATGATTTGACCATGTTTCTCATATACCACTCTACCATAACTAAGGATCTCTCCCCACACACCCTGTTGTAAAACGGTTATTTTGTGTCAAGTCCAAATGGCATTTAGAAATGAAGCAAGGTTCTTTGTGTCAAAAAGATACAATATAGAGTATTTATTATTTTACCACATATTTTTTCTTTATAATCTTTCAGTAATTCAAGCTATGGTGCACATTAAGCCTGGAGAAAACAAATATTTCCTCCTTTTAGGATCCTGGAAAAACAGAGCTAATATAAGTCAAAGTCCAAGGAACCTATGATCTTAATATAAAGCAAATCGTTCATTCAGTCAACAACTCTTACATTAAGACCCACTAAGTACCACCCAGTTCTAGGCACTGGGAATGCAGATAAACTCCCTCCTCTCTCAGAGGTTATGTTTAAAAGGGAGAGGTTGAATATAGACAAATAAATGATTAAGTATAGACTATAATGTCAAGTAGTGACAAATGTTATAATAGAAAAAGTGGGGTGGAGATTATGTGGTGCTATTTTACCTAGGGTGATCAGGGAAGGCCTCTTTGTATAGGTGACATTTGAGTTCCAGGCCGGAAAATGTGAGGGGGCAAACCATGAGACCATAAGAGAGAACAGTATTTCAGGAAAATCACGTTTCCATAAAGAGACTTTAGAAGACAAGTGGTTAGCTTCAGGTGGTTACCTTCAGATTATGGAGGAGATTCACTCTCAAACTGAAATGTTAGGACTGCTTTTAACTTCAACTACTAAAAATTTAAATTTCTTTACCTGATACAGTTACCACGAGCTCCCTTGGCAAACCAAATATCCGGTTATCTGTGTCGAAGACTATTACTACAGAACTAGCTGCATCATGATGCACAAAGACCTAGAAGGATAAGTGCAAGAATTATGAAAATGTTTACTTAAGGTATTGTTGTATCCCTCCTTTATTCCTAAGGCCTTTAGAGCATTCACTCACCTAAAGTATACAAATGCTATAAAAAGTTCCCTTTTGTTAAAGGATAGAAAGATAATAAGGTATCATAATCAACTTTTTGGTTTTTTTATTTTTATTTTTTTACTTTTCTTACTTAGTTTATTTTATTATTCCTCATAAACTTTCTAATGGGAGTTTCAAAATAAAGTAGAACTATTAAGAATAAGAGTTTACACAGAGAAAGCAGTATAGCACAGAGAAGACAAGTAGTGACTCAATAGCATCTTACTATGCTAATGGACAGTGACGCAGTGGGGTGTGGTGGGGGACTTCATAATATGGGTGGATGTTGTAACTACAATGTTGCTCATGTGAAACCTTCATAAGATTATATATCAATGATACCTTAAAAAAAAAAGAATAAGAGTTTACTTGATACTACTCAATTTGAGTTTCTTACCTGTGAATGTTGTTGCTGGTAGCCATCAGCGATGGCATTGATGATGTGGACGCCTGGGGCTAAGAGTACATGGAAATAGCCTCCCTGTTTTGTGTGTACCTTTATTCCTTCATTGAGTACAATGACTGCTTTAGATATTGGTTTTCCAGTCTTATCTTTAACAAATCCATGAACTCCCTTGTGAACCTGAAAAATGTTTCTCATGTAAATATGTTTTCATAATGCCAGATATTATAGAGGTAGTAGTAACTTGAATAACAAACAACAACCAAAAACCCCATAAGACCAGCTTATTCATCCTTCTCCACTGACTTAGACCTTGTCTGTTACTCATTCACTGCGTCAGAGGCATTGAGGTTGGAGGTACGCAGAAAGAGAGATCTGACAGTGTCAAAGCCTAGAGTGTTAAAACCTAAACCTTCTGATGCACTGAATGATTTACCTCCCACCTCAGTACAATGTCTTGAGTGACTCTGTGATATTCAAATGGAAGATTATGTAACACCTCACGGGGTTAAATTACCTGAATTACAGGAGATTCCAGATATGTGGATTCACGGCACCTACTCAGGCCATATGAATTGAAGAAAACTTTCTATATACACTTAAGATAAACACAAACTTTTGGTAAAAGAGTAAGAAAATGTTTTGATACAGGTTTTCATTGAACATATTCCTGGGAGTTTGCTTGTAGTTATAAGGGAAAGACTCACCTCCACCAACATGCTAAGAAGAGATTTTTTATTTTCTGCCCACAACGAAGGGAGCTGTGCTGCACTAGGAAAGTAGCAGCAGCTTGTATATACTGTGATTTCTGGACAATGGCCGTAGGTGACACTATAATCCTGGAATAGGAAATTCAAAAACAAATTCAAGAAAATGAGTAAGCAAAGGTTAGAATGAGGCTTTATAATGCAACACATGGAATAAATGGAATAAAAAGAAAACCTGGGTGATATAAACAAATAATCTGTAAAGCATTCTATAGCAAATACAAAGAAATCATTTGGTATTATAACCAGTAATTTATAATACAAACATAGCTGCTCCTAAGAGAGCCCTTGAGACCCGGGACTACATCTAATTCATTTTTGTATCTCCAGTGCTTCCCACAGTGCCAGGCAGGTAGGGAGAGCTTATTGGGGTTTGCTGAATAAATGAACAAGTGAGTAAGTACATGTAGAGGACCAGTTTCCCCTAAAGTCTGGAACTTCACTGTTTTTTCTTAGAGCTTGAGAGGGAGAAGCACAAACACTTGCCCTCAGATACCCTCAATCTGCAGGCTCAAGCCTGCTGGTGGCGACAGTCACTGCCTGCAAGATAGCAATATCCGGTCATGGCAACCGATGTTGTGGACAGGTTCCAAAACCTAATTTACCACCTTTCCCCCAAACCTGTTCTTTTTCCTTACTCAATTAATGATGTTGACTCATTTTCTCACATAGACATGAGATCTCTTGTCTTTGACCCATTTTCTGCTATCATCCATAATTTGTCAAATCCTGTCAATTCCACCTCTGCAACTTCATCCCTCAACTGTACTCCTGTTGCCACTACCCTAATCTAGGTCCTGTTTTTTCACTCAGTGACCAATATTTATAATTTCATCCTCACTGTATTCCACAAAGCATACCTTCATGCTGCCCAGGTGACTGTGCCATTCTGCTCCACGCATTACTCCTCCCGGAATATTCTCCTCTACACAAGCATTGAGAGACATAGATCAACAAGATAGTAAGGCAGAACCTCATCCCCCCTGCTCAAAAGTAGCAACAACAATAACAAAGGTAGGAAAATACCTACCTGATTTATTTGAGCAACTGGGCTGACCCATATGCATCGATGGATGATTGTTTGCATAAAGGGATGCCAAATGCTTCAGGGTCTCTCTGTTTTCCACTACAAAAGGACAAATTCAGAAGGCAATGGAGAAATTCAAAAGGTTTTTCTCCCAAGTTCAACTTAGATACAAAAGTCTTTTCTCCTAGCAAATATTACACCCCACTGGAGATGACTGAAGAGTTACTATAATTAACTATGTGGGTCTGTTTAGCCCAGGATAATCAGACTAAGAAGACACACATCTTCCTTATATGAAAAGGTACTGATGGTCAGTTTACAGAACAGGCTACTACACTAACATACAAACTTGTTTTGATGTTTAAACTACATTTTGGGGCAACTGTGGCCTAATAACAATATTCCTTGTAAATGGCATCGAAAGCACACTAACTCCATATACCATGGGCCCGGAGAGATTCAACAAACTACTGCTTAACACATCTAAGGCACAACCATTCCATCAAAGTTTAAAGCAGGGGAGGGCAATTTCTGGATTGCCGACATTTGGTTATATAGGAGTTTCTTGAGGAAGGCATTGTGTCTTCTTCTCTTTTGTATTTCCAATGCCTATCGACATAGTAAGTGTTCAGTAATGCTTGTGGACTAAACTGAATGGATGTGACAAGATGGCTGTAGCCAATAAGGCTAGGCCATCATTGGATCTGACCTCTTACCTCCAAGTAGCTTTTTGAACTGCTGATATCTGTATAATCTTAGGTTGGTTGTTTGCTCATGGAATATGCTCAAATGCTCACCATTTAAAAAAAATGTAGACAGGTCATCACCTAAATGGAATTTCCTATTTAAGCTTAACTAGCATACATGTAGAGTATATACATTCTGCACACCTGTTTGTACTGGCTTGTCATACGGGTATGTGACTAGTACTGAACCACCATCTAAAGCAACAGACAGACTGAAGTCCTGTTTCTGAATTAAGTTTTCAATGATGGCTTTAGTCTCAGGCTGGGAGGCATTACCTAAAAAATAAAAAGTCAAATATAAAGTAACAAGTTTTAAAATTTTAATATGAGTAGCTAAGAAAATATTCTCTCCTTGAATAGAATGACAAGGTCAACTCACAAGATCTGTAGGTAACTACTTTATTACTGCATCAGCCACTCTCTTAGGCAAGAAAAATACATTCTAGAAGGGAGATTATTTTGAGTTTTACAAACTTCAGTATAATGTGTAAAAGTTAATGACTCTAAATAAGTTTAAGAAAATTCTTACTAGAAACAAAAAGGGATAGAAATAACCTCCTTTGAAAGAAAGTAAGATTTTCAGAAAGCAGGGTGTTTTCTGTAGCAGTTTGCAAGAGTAAAAAATTAGAAACTAAATGTCCATCAATAGGAAAGTGGTTGAATATAGTCAGATATTAATATCATATTAAGATGCCATTAATAAGAATGTTGAGACCTATAAGTACTAAAATTGAAAGATGTCAATGATATACTCAATGAAAAAATTTGTAGAATAGTATGTACAGTTGAGGATTCTTTTTAAATAAGAAGCAGGCCCCTTCAAATCAACGTACACATGTAGCATATATGTGTGTGTACTTACACATATATATGGAAAGGTAGACAGAGAATATGCATCTTTGTATGACTACTGATGGAACTCCCCAATATTATTGATTTTGTAAGACAAAACTTGAGTTACTTTTGCAAATGATAAAGAACAAAAAATTCACTAAGTTTTGTAGATATCTGTACTCATTTATACCTTACATTCAATACTTAGAAAGTATCTCATTACTCATCTACACAATGGTATCAACCAATCTCCCAGCAAAGAGAAATAAAATTATCTGCAAAGTACTTTCATGGCCTAAAAATTAGTCTTACTAGTGAAGTCAGTATCCAGGTCTTTGCCATGAGCATTTGTTTGTCCTGTCTTTGAAGTACAGTCTTTCTCTTGAGCTCTCTCTCGCCCATCTGGATTTAGAGAAGGAACAATCACAATTCTAGTTCTGTCAACCAACTAAAACAGAAACAGAAATCAGTAAGACTCTTGAGCTCTCTCTCGCCCATCTGGATTTAGAGAAGGAACAATCACAATTCTAGTTCTGTCAACCAACTAAAACAGAAACAGAAATCAGTAAGTTTATTAGCTCTATGTGGACTCAAAGGTACCCTCCCATATGTTAAACAGAAGGGTGTGTTTGTTTAAAACACCGATTCAAAAGGCAAAATAAAAAAAAAAAAATTCTCTCTGAATCCACAAATTAAAAAGGAACAAAAAAATTACTGCACAACTAATGTTCCCAGAGACCTCCTGATGACTTATAACGGGTCTGAAACCACTGCCTGCAGGCTAAACCCAGCTTGCTGCTTGCTATTGTAAGTAAAGTTTTAGTGGCACACAGCCCTGCCCATTCATATGACTGTTTTTGGGCTGCAGTGGCAGAGGTGAGTAGTTGCAGGACATAACATCTCCCCTACAAAGCCTAAAATATATATATGTCCCTTTATAGAAAAAGTTTGCTGACCATTGGCTTAAATCAGTAATAATAGTGAGATTATATTTTCCAGGCTAAAATCTGGAATGCATAAACTGACAAATATCAATGTCTGTCTGGAAATAAGACAGAAGAGTTGAAATCAGCATGTCAAAAGATTAATGAAGTAGGATATTTATCTCACCCACAGTAATTTTTCCTCCAGATGATCCATGAGCATCAATACCTACATGGGTGGCATAAACTAGTTTCTGATATACTTCATCTACATACTTCTAGTAATGAACCAGAATAAGTGATCCCTGGTTTATTTATTGTGTTAAAATAGTCTGTAGATTGAAAATGTTTGAAACTTTTTAATTCACTGGTTCTTAAAATGTCTCCCCTGAGGGAGATTTTTTATCTGAAGTACACGTTTGAGCTTTATCACAGGTCTCTGGGTAATGAGTCTATTTTCTTGAGCTTGCCAGACAATTCTGACCCTTAGCTCAGAACAAATGGCAATCTAAAGTGATACAGCTCAAGCCCAATTATACCAGTGAGGCAAATTCTCATAAAGTGGGAGTTTTAAAATTCCTGGAAGGAAATTCCTATTTTATCTAGGACATACAGTCTCTTATAACCATAATATCAGTAGGTAGCAACTCTGGCCAAATATTAGAATAACCTAAAGAGGTTCTAATGGAATATTTATGCCTCTGTGGATGGAACCCAAACGTTGGTTTTTTTAAAAATGTCCCAGATGTTTCTAACGTGTACCACTCTCCTAGGTACTCTTTCATCTTAAAAAGAGAACAAAAGATATTTTTGAGATACTCTTAATTCACATTAAGATGTCAATGGAACTTGCTTGGCTGAAGAAAATAATTTTTTTTTTGAGAGGGCATCTCTCATATTTATTGATCAAATGGTTGTTAACAACAATAAAATTCTGTAGAGGGGACTCAATGCACAATCATTAATCCACCCCAAGCCTAATTCTCATCAGTCTCCGATCTTCTGAAGCATAACGAACAAGTTCTTACATGGTGAACAAATTCTTACATAGTGAATAAGTTCTTACATGGTGAACAGTACAAGGGCAGTCATCACAGAAACTTTCAGTTTTGATCA